TTAAATTCAATTAGAGTTTTTAAATCAAGTTCCTTTTTTTTTCCTATTCAAATTTTTTCAATTAATAAATCAGTTAGGCATGGACAAAAAATTGAACCTAAGATGATTCTTCTGCTAAAAATGTATAACTTTTTAAGAAAGGGTTTTATTTATAAACTAAAATCACGTGATCACTTTTTTGCCCTAATTTTCGTTAAACACGCTACTTACAAATTGTTCTATAATGCACATGTATACAACATTAAAATTTAAAACTTAGCACAATTATGTTTTGCAATAACAAATAAACAATGAAAATGTTTTCTTTATTATAGCTTAAACTATTAAAAAAAATCCTTTCCATTTTTTATTAATTGCTTCGTTCATTATTTAGAATACAACATAAGGCACGCTGTAGAAAAAAGTTGAGCTTTAATGATTTAAATAAATAGAAAAGGGATTTATAAGTCTTGAACAAAAAAACAAAAAAAATTCTATTAAAACCGAATTTAAAAATAAACGAATCAGCATAACGTTGTTTAAACAATTTTTTTTTCGTAATATAAAAAATGCTAGCTGCTTTCGCATCAGTAGGCCTATAAATAGAAATAATTCCATTGTTTAAGTTAAAACAATGAATTACAATCATTCATAGCATTAAGATACTAAACAATGTATCACTTCCTAACTTATAATCAAACGGGTTTCCTAAACCAAAATGAACAATATCTCTATTCTTATCGGCAGTTCCGGACGTATAACTCCTGTGTTTTGCAAATTATTTCTTGAAATGTTTGATAACTTAAAGGTCAAGCTAATTAATTCGTACACAAATAATAATTACATTTACTTCCTATTGTTGTTCATTTATTTTCACCAAACCACTGAACAGTCTTTGGCATTAAATTTCTTTTAGAGACCGCATTTATTAATTCGTTGTTTGTAATTATTTTTAAATAACATTCCATTTCGATAAATAATATAATCGAAGTTTGATAAATAAAAAACTTAGATAAATAATACTTCATTATCTCTGGTAATTTATAATTGCTGTTGTACTAATGTTTCATTTTCTTCCAATAATTTATTACAAAATCATATACGATTCGAAGTTCAATAAATGAAAAACTTAAACTATTGAATGAAAAACTAAACTAAAACTTAAACATTATCTTCCGTAATTCATAATTGAAGCGGTCAATGTTAAAAGGGGGTATGTTACAAATCTGCACTTTAAAAAAAATAAAAAAATAAAAATTGTGCCAATTGTGGAAAGATTGTTTTATATGTTTCCAAATTGTTGGATTTTCTTTTTTAGGCAGTTTAGAAAATTTCTCGGTATTTGATAATTGGTGATTGATATTCCAAAACCAACAAAAAACTTTTTTTCGTAAAAATATTACATACCCCCTTCTAACATTGACCGCTTCAATTATTATTAAACTAATATTTCATTTTGATGAATAATGTATATTGAAATCATTTAATCGAAGTTTGATGAATGAAAAACTTCAGCTATCCGAGTTACACTATCTTCCAGACTTACAATTACTATTTATTTCACTAATATTTCATTTTAATGAATAACTTGAAATAAAATCACATAATAGAAGCTTTTGATAAATGAAAAACTTTAACTATTCTGATTTAATTGGTAATTAAAATAATGATTTATAAGTACATTACCCTTACACTTATTTTGAAAATCAATGCAAGCAACAAAAAATTCAAAATTGAGATTTTTTGGCATTTTTGTATGGTAAGCTTACATATTGCGGGAAATTTTTATTCAAAAGTAATTTTTGCTTTATCAATATTTTGACATTCTATTTTAGCGTTCATAGCATTAGCAATAGGAGGAAAATAGTTGTCAAACTATTTTTTTTTTGGTTTCAATCATAGGACAGGGATGAGATTCTTCCGCGGATTCGCGGATTTCCGCTTTTTTTTCAGATGTTTCCATTTTTCCAGCTAATTTCCGCTGAAATTTATTTTTTGCACAAGTTAAAATGTTTTATGAGGAATTTAATTTTCCGCGGAGGGAAATTGTTGAAGTCCCTTTTCCTCCCTCTGAAGTTTCTCTAAAAATAATTTCTTTGGGATAAAACTGGTTGACCTTTATACAGGGATGAGATTNCTGCAGCATTGTAGAGACACTTTCAATTTTCGAATTTCTCAAACAAAAATAATTAGAGAATTATTTTAAACTTTAGAAGTGTTTAGATTAGAATATGGGATTTCTTCAATTTATCAATAAAGTTTTTAAACTTTTAGAGGTTTTAGGAACCGACAATAAATTACGAAAAAAAAAATCGTTTTTGTGTACCTTATGCCTGAAAATAAAGAAACAAACTAGTATCGATTATTTTGGTTGTTTAATGCCAACAACTGCATAAAATTTTGTTAAACTAACTTAAATATTCATAGAAATAAAGACAATTTTATAAAAAATAATTTTTTTCCTTACGTTTTCTTATTATAACTGTAAAAATTTTCAATCAAATTTTTTTCAACGAAACTTTTGGTGCAAATTTTAATTGATAACTAAGATATGAGCTTATTTACAAAACCGATCACAAATCGTTGTGTTACAATTCGTTGTCTGTCAAAGAAAAAAAAATATTTCTGAATAATTTTTATTATTTTTTACTTAAACTTCAAATTCCTTTTTAATTTAGTTTAAATTGTTTGCTATTTGAAAATAGAATAAAATGAAGTACTAAGGTACAATATATGAAGATAATTTTTGTTCCTTCTTTAGAAGCGACAATCAATTTTTAAAGTCGATAAACATTTTCTAACAAGTTTATTGTTTTTATTACGCAACGTGAACGTAATATTGTTTGAATTAGTTACGATTTTATTCGAAAATGATAAGAACTAAAAAGAATCATCATGGGAAATTTAAGAGGGCTTACTATATCGCTTTTTAAGCTTTGCGATTCCTTTTTCTTTTTTTCTTAAAAATAAAAATACATAGTCTATACAATATTAATATTCCATAGAGTAAGTTAATTATCTCAGTTTTTTTTATAAAAAAATGTTTTTCAGAAGAATTTTAACTACTTCTTTAAGCTTTAATAAAAGAGCCTTTTTTTTTCATGACTAAAAAAAAATTTGAATTTCTAATGGTCACTATATGTGACTGCCATCATTAGTATTCTACAGTCGAGGCTTGGTCTCGCAACTTCACATACTAAAAACTACCGAAAATGGATGCAGTTCAGTTATAGAATTTCCTAATCCATATAGAGCATGAAATAACACGATTTACAGTTAAAAAGTTATAAAATTACTTTGATATCTTTCAAAAGTTTTGTATGGTACATAATTAAAAGGACTTAAAATCTCAAATCAGCTGCATAATATTTTTACATTCTGTCTTTATTTTATTTTAAATTGTTTTATTTATTTCTTCGAATAAAATAGAATATTACATTAAATTTGGACTTCAGATTTTCATTGCGATCTTGAAGGAAAAATTTTTTTCCGTTTACCTTACTAGCCTAGAAATGCAATAAATCAAAATTAATATTTTACTTTCTTATGTTATTTATTTTTATACTTTAAACAACCACAAAGAATGCTTGTCACATGTCATGTTAAATCCCCACCGATTCGTCAATTGCGAGCGAAAGATGAATTTTTAAATATAATGTTATAATTAAATAATATTTTATTGCTAACCAGAAGAGATAGCAAAAATAAATAAAAATAATAGAAAACTTATTATAAGACACTGTAGCTTATTGTTTTTTTTCTTTTGTGCTCATTAAAAAAATGTGATTTTTTTTGATGTTTTAAAAGTTAAATCTTGTAAAATTTTTAAAAAAAATTAGTTTAGTAACTTAATTATTAAATGTAAACTTTAATAAAATATTTTGACGTATAGTAATGAAAAAACGTTTCTCAGAAATACTAAAAGAAAAGTATTTATTAAAAGAAAACACATTCATGAAATATTGTAATAAATATATTCTCTGATTGCACCCCCCTGTGAAAATTTCGATTAGCGCCTTTGGCACGCTTCCCTGAAGGGATGAGAGTTTTTAAAGTGAACATGAAATCATCATCTCGTGAGTCAATGTTCGGTGCTTTTTTTCTTTTCTTTTTTCAGGGACTTTTTTCTGGTGCTTTTTCGCCCCCATTATTTCTGTTTACCAACCAGCTGGTCTTCGTACATGGAAAAATTAAAATCTTATTGTTAAAAAATTGCACAACTTCATTCAAAAATTAAAAAAATACATTTACCCACAAGACCCATCAGCTCCCACATTTTGTATCATTTTATAACTTAAAACTAATATTTTAACTTTTTTTTTCAGTTTATTTAACTTAAACAAAGCGATGACCTATGTAAAAATATAATTTGTTTTACCCTCATTGTCTGGAAGTTTTAATTACAATGTTGATTCAAGTAATCTTTCGGCCAGTTTTATGGCACATAAATATCTTATTATTTGAGTCTAGTGGGTTTTGTTTCATGACTAAAATGATAAATAATACGCTTTTGAAACATCCTGCTGTATTCAAAAAATAAAAATTTCTTTTGTTTTTAATGTTATAATTAAAAATAACAGAAAATAGTTAGATTTAATAATTAAATTTTTTTTCTTCCGAATCAGTTATTTCGTTGAAAATTTGCGGCCCTCTTGTCTCGTGCGAAAAAATACTTTCTGTGTCAATAACAATATAAATAAATTAGTTGAAAAATGCTTGTTTTTTAAACAAGACTAATTATCAAGATTCTATATACGATATTCGAAATTTACTGATTTTTATTCTGCAAAGCCGTAATTTATTAATATCGAAATATCAACTCCAAAACATTATTCGTACGTTTTCAGAAGCATATGAAATTTTAGAAACAAATCATCAATTGTACAATCAATAAAATCACAAGAAGAAAGAAAAACAAGCATTTTAAAAATGCAAATTTTTACTTATTTAAAAATTACAGCAGCAAAAATTATTAACAATAATTAAATTTAATATTAATATCAGTTTAATATAAGGCTTACTTGATTTTCCATTTCTCCATCAATAAATGGAATGTCCAATTTTGCCTCATAAGTGAAAGAATCATTAGCAGATTCCATAATAACGTCAAAAAATCATTCTCGGACAATCATGAAAATGATAATCATAAAACCAACCGATAATTTCTTAGCATTATCTGACTTAACACCGATGACCGCTGATAAAATTTTGCTCTCGGGAATGAATCACAGGTCTCATTTGAATTCGCAGTCATAAATTTTTTATTTTGATAGAGCACGCTACAAGTTGACATTAAAAATCAAGAATACGATTATTCTTTGGTCCAGTTGTTTTGTTGAAAGTCCATATTGGACTGAAATGTGTGTGTGTGGTGTTGCCCGATGATGTCATGTCCCAGTGTAGTCGTAATCGTTTGCTTTGGAAGGTCAGATCAATCCGGTCTCTAGCAGACCTTGTTTTCTTTTTTTTTCAATTAACTCTCCTTCACTTACAGACATTGTATTTCTTTCTCCGTTCCTTTTTTTCTTTTCTTTTTTGTTTCTTTTTTGCGAATAAATAAACAGTGGATTGGGAGATATATATTGAATTTAAAAAGGAAAAAGAGGGTAAAAGAACTAGAATAGCACAATTGTCATATTTGAAGAAAAATACGACTATATTATTAACAAAGATTAGAATTACAACAAAATGTTTTTTGAACAAACGAACACTAAAGAGGCCGAAAGCGAACTTTATTAACTTTGAAATTACAGTCGAACATGGAATATAGTGAACACTCGGTTGGTTGTAATGAACTTTTTTAGTGGCCCCTTCCGAATTTCCATTTAACTAATGTTATTTTGTACGCTTATTGTACACGGCTGAAAAATTGGAAGTTTGTTTATAGTGAACTTTAATTTCATTTCTACAGTTCTCCTTCTTTTTTCCAATTTTAAATTTTTGCCAGAGATGCAATTGTAAATGACGGCATTTCGTTAAATTGTGTCAAATCTTACTCTAGCTCGCTCTTCGCTTATAAACTAGGGTGGAAAAGTTGTTAAACATGCCCATTCCTCCCTCTATATTAAAAAATAATAATAATAAATAAATAAATGTTAGCAACTTTTATCACAGAAGTGAAATTGATATTAAAAGTCCTAATTTTTTTTTAACTGAAAGAAATGAAGGCTAGGAAATATTAGATTCTTAACTAAATGTTAATACAAAAATTGCTAAACTCTTCCTAAAACAGAATTGTAGTTGATCGAAAAGTACTAATTTCTTCGATAGAATGTAAAATTTAATTTATTAAATTTCATTTTAATATTTGATGTATTATTTATTTAATTGGTAATAATTAATAGTTTATAAACAAATATGTACTATCATAATCATTTTTTCTAACAATACTGCTGCCATTTGCTAAATAATTTTTAAAGAATTTGGATATAGTGAAGCCCCGTTTATAGTGAACTTATTTCTGAATCCGCAGACAGTACACTATAACGAGGTTTGACTGTAATTCAAAATTTTAATAAAAGGGCAAGTTTTTTCGTATCCAAAAATGTGCAAAATTTCATACTTTTTTACACTGTGGTTTTTTTTGTATTATGAATGATAAAAAGTGTGGGAATTTTGAAAGAAAATTAAAAAAAAAAAAAAAAAAAAAAAAAAAAAAAAAAAAAAAAAAAAACGGTGATGCCTGCTAACTTTTTTTAAAATTAGAGTTATAAGTAAGTAGAACGACCATCGGTTTTAATTCCAATTTCTTTCGGCTATGATCGACTACCTTTCGGGAGAACCCCGACTTTATAAACAGAATATATAAAGACAATTGTGAATACATTAACCGATAAGACTATTTCATTTTGAAAAAATTTAAGATTAATATTTTGAGCCGCGATGGCTCAGAGGATAGAGCGTTCGCCTTCCAATGAGGCGAACCGGGTTCGAATCCCAGTCGATACGAATTCCGCATCCGGCTTACACCGACCACTGTTGCTGACGTGAAATATCCTCAGTGGTAGACCGATCATGGGTAAGAGTCCTCTTGCCGTCAGGATAATCGTGGGAGGTTCTCGTGGTCTTCCTGTCCATGTAACGCAAATGCGGGTTAGCTCCATCACAAAGTACTCCACGAAGGCAAATTTCCCCCAATACTCGATCCGGGAGTTCCCTTGTCTTCTGGATTGGGTTCAAAATCACAAGGCTACGGAGTTGGACATTAGTAGTCGTAAACCCATAAAAATTGGGCCGGCTGTTCAACGACGGTTTAAAAAAAAAAAAAAAAGGATTAATATTTTCGTCGTTTTATCATTAATAATATGAAATTTGGTTTTAAGTTAGACAGTTGAAATCGCAGTCCTGGAACAGAATCTAGTTTATTATGAATTTGTTTTTGCTGTATATATATGCTGAAATAATAAATAAAATAAGCCAATAAATAGCAGCAATAAACGTTGAAAATGTTTATTAGGAAACCATATTTCTTTAACTAAATTAGTTATTTTATAATTGATTTAAAAAAGCGTGATGGAAAATTCCATTACGATTTTTCATATACAATGTGCTCATCCTAATACAGATATGCCAACTGCTCCGGACAAGTCAAAATAATTAGTAAAACGGTAGATAACTACAAAATAACTTTTGCACATATTTGACTATTTTTGTTTGCTTTTTGAAAAGTATAGCACGACATAAGTAATATAAAGTGGTGAATTACATAAGCCTACGAATTGTTTAAAAATAGTGGTGGATAAAAATCTACTAAATTGAATTTATTAAACCAAGAATCACAATTGATAAACTACCAATTTAAAATATATATTTGCTGTCCGGAGCAAGTTGACATCTCTGCTAATATTCAAGAATTCAATGAACTATAGTTAAAAAAAATTATATTTCTTAAAAAAAATTGTAATTTCTTGCCTATTTATTTGCATAATAATTAATAATTTGAATGGTTTTGTTAAGACAACCGAAATATAAATAAATAATTATTATTAATCGGATCTAAATGCAATTTCAGATTCTAAAAATGTTTTTAAAAAAAATTAAAAAAAACTTTTTACTAGTTTTAACTCTCGAAACTTCTAAACTTCTTCATTCAGAACACTATTTGTTAACTACTGGACCAGATATTTTAAATGTGTTTTTTATTTTGAAATTAAATGTGTTTTTTATTTTAACATATTCTAATCTTCCTTTTCAAAAACTAGTTTAAACTACCCAATCCACTGTTTATTTATTCAAAAAAGAAAAAGTGACTCCTGATTAACTATTAACTTCCCACTATGCTTATAGTGTTAAATATTATCCATATCACTAATATGTTAATTGACAGACTAGTTTCCATCGTTTGAACTTTATTTATTTATTTACTCGCTGCATCAATAATCATTCAAATTACCGCGCTAAGATACACATGTCTTCCTATATTAGTCCAATAACTAATAAGTGCCCTCATTCATTCGCTATATCATGAATAATTTATAGTACCACGCCATGGTGTCCCGCAGTGGACCGATCGTAAAGACACGGTTCCAGTAGAACACCGAAGTCAAGCATAAGGCTGCGATCAGTAAGCGGGTGGGTGATCGCTTTGATCAGCCTGATGCGTAGGGACCGAGGATGTGAGGTATCGGTTCTCGCTAAACTGTTCTACCGTAAAGTGCACGACTTCGTGCACAGGTCTACGGACTACCAAACCAGGAAGCCATCCCCTCAGCAGAGGATCAAAATTGCGATGGCATATTTTCGGATCATTCTCTGGGATGCTCCCCAGACCGTCGCCAATGGCCCATTGTGCAGCTCTAGTGCGACGCAAATAAAGTACCTACCAGGCCATGGATATTCCTCAAATATAAATACATATTTGAAGCATAATGTAGCATGCTTTTACCCTCTTTACAAAAAGACATTCATAGACTCGCTTTTTTTCGTTCTTTTCTTCTGTTATTCACTCGCTATATCAGAAATAGTTCATAACATGAAGGCAACGGTTATTATACTTCAAATATTAATTTTTATTTCAGGTGTAATATTTCACGCTTTATTCTTACCATTTTATTTGCTTTTAGGAGTAAACTGAGTCATGGACTCGGATTTCTTCCCTCTTTACACCCTTAATTCTATCCTTTCAACAATAGCAACCAACATGTGTTCTTCATAATGAAGATAAATTAGCCAATCTTCTCTCTGGTGCCAATAAAAACAGGAAATTACCAATTGCAAGGCTTTATTTACTCGTTTTTGTTTGCGGGTGTAAGCTGAGTATGTTGTGGAAGATATACGTGGGTTTTTCTCTTTTTCAGGTTATTCGTCATACATTAATCATTTACTTATAGATTGTAAAACAAGAGAAACTCACAAATTCTTGAGAATGATGATAAAGTGAGGTTTCTATGTTAAAAGTCATCTCACAAGATTCTCAGATGTTTTTCCTTCCTTTTATTATTATTTTTCATTAAAGAAATTTTGCCATGATTTAATCTCTTTTAAATTCTTCGATCTGTAAAATTTTTTTTATTACTTCAGAATTGCAGACATTAGAATTATAAAAAATTAAACAATTTAATTTTAATATTTTATACCTATTATTTATTATGTTTTCTTTTTTTTAAAGATAAGCTTTATTTATTCAAGATTTTATTCTAAAATGTTAAAAATTAACTATATTTTTCCTACTGGAGATTTACTTTACACCTGTAATAAGTGTGTTGTTGTCGTATGCCATTGAGACAAAGGAGATGCGCCTCTTGTTTTCCAGTGGCGCCATCTATGGCCAATAATTCGACTACTGTCACGCACATAAGTCACAGTTAGTTTATAGGGGGGACAAATTAATAAATTCACAGATCGTAATTGTGATCTGAACCAGAGAACAATCAGGTCAAATTCAGTACTCCCTGGTGTAGAATTTGTTAGGAAAATGTGGAGGACTTTGTGACCCGACAGATTTAACGTGTACCACTCACCATTAACTACATGGGGAGTCTTCCTACTAACCAGCCTATCCTGGCCCCTCGTATAAGACATGAAATATTAAAATGATCTTTAAAAACATGTTTGGTTTTATTTCTCATCAAAACTCTTAAATTTTATCGTTCCAAGCAAGAAATGCAAAACCATAATTTCTATTAGTTTTGCTCTACTCTAGGAGTCTTAAAACTTGTTCAGCCTAAAACAGGGGTATTCAACCTTTTAAGGGAACCCTTTGAACTTAATACTTACTTGAAGGAACCTTTTGATGAAAGAGCAGGGAAAAAAAGAGGATATGAAAGCTTTATCCAAATAAAATTTACTAACTTATTATTGCTTTCTTATTTTATCACAATCTTAAATAATAAGCGGTAAGGTAGCTAAAAGGTTTTTTTTTTGTCTTTCTAAAACACATTCTATAAATAATTAAAAAATGCAACAATATTTTAAATTATAACGAATTAATAAAAAAAAATGATTTGCCTGTGATTGTTTTTCCTGCAGAGTATTTTTACGTCTGAAATAATTGCTGAAATTTGCAAATTAATGTCATCTTCAGCATTCCAATCTACTGCTGAAGAGTAAATGACATTCAATGTTTCACAGCTTATTTAGCAATTTCAGGGTATTCTTTTCTAATGTCAATCCAAAACTGAATACATCAATTTGGCTGAATTTTAGTCTCAAATGAGTGTCGGTCGATGTATCAATTTGTTGCTCCATTAAGATACCACGATTTGCACCCCGCCCCTCCGAGTTCATTCTTCACCAGAGAAAAAAAAAAAATGAGACTAATATGTCTCGATTAATCTATCTGAAGCTCGTGCCTTTTTCAATATTTAAGATTATATTTTGTCAATAAAATATTTATAAAGTCAAACCCCGCTATAGTGAACCTTCAAGGGACTGAAATTTCTGTTCACTATAACCGGGAGTTCACTATATTCGTTACGCAGGCAATTTAACTAATGGTTTCCAAACTCCTCCCTTTTATTACACATGATTAAATAAATGACTGAAAAATATTATGTAGTAGCAAAAAATGCGTTATTTTTCATTACTCTTCGTCTTGCGTACAAAAAAAATTAGTAATCATTAACTGATGAGCAATCCTCAACATCAGATATGGAAACTCTTCCCGAATCTCAGATAATTTTTCCAGATTTCTGTTATTCCGCTTTTGAAAACCTGTTTAACCTGCCATTCGAGCACATAAATGCAGTTTCATAAAATCGCTTAGCAAATTCATCGACATTTGTCCAGATACTGGAAGATTGCGGCTTCTTCTATTGGTTAACCACTTCAGTAATGCTTCTTCAACATCCTTGTGATCTGCTTTTCTCAACTTTTTTCTGCCATCTAAATTTTTTTCATAAGCAGAAATTATTAATTGCCGATTTTTTCATATGTTGCAAACTGCAGATTTGGATAGTTTATATTCCCAGCAAAGATCAGCTTGATTACATCCATTTTCAATTTTTATCATTATACCCATTTTATCATCAATGGAGAACGTTTCATGTTTACTGCTCGCCATAGTTAAATTTGAGACACTTTTTTGCAGGATTTTTTTAACTGAACTGAGAGCAGAAAGGAGTTGAAATGAGGGCCTTATCAGCCCATATTAGTGTCCAACCCTTTGACCAACAATGAATAATTACTCATTCCCTTTGACAGAAAATGCATGTTGATCCCACTGACACCTTACAGGTGCATCATCTGTCTGAGTTGGAAACATCTGCTTGGTTTGTTTAGGGATGGGAAAGTGAGATAAAAGAAGTAAACAAGGAAAAATGCTTATTGTTACATTCCCCTCTATAGATGGTTCTAAAAATTGATATATGTATTTATTTTGAAGTAGAAATTTCAAAATTATTACAAA